GCAAAGCTGGCCACAGCTCAAAAGCGCTTCCCAAGGCATGCACAGCCAATGCTGAAAACTACAATAAGGAAGCTATACGCTAAAATATAGCAGCCTACAACGTATCTTGTTATAATTCAGTATGGAAATCCAAAATTTAAGTTCCATTAGCAATCTCCAAGATTACTTATTAGCAAACCAGAAACTCGTGTAAAATTAAGAAAGTACAACTATTATAAAGTTCATGGAAAGTTCCATATTAATTATATCACATAAACCCTTCGTAATTTTATGGGTTTCTTCATGCTCCTTGCACTTTATCCTCCCAAGGGATGCAACATGGGCCATAAAACTTTAAAGCGCACAACAGCAAATCACACAGTGAGTCTAGGCTCTACCCCCGCTCTCCAAACAATCCCCCCCCCCCCTTTTTTTTTTTCTTTAACTGGTTCTTAAATCTTCTGTGATCCAGGAGGTGAATTTAGATCTGTAGACCATTTAACTACCACAGTTTATCAAGATAACCTATAATTGGAGAATACAGAAATGGCTGAATGGGTGTTGATCAACTGCCGATTTGCAGATGGTTCTATACTGGAAATAAATACAAAGAATAAACCTATAAAATCAAACACGCAAGTTTCCTAACCACATTATTATGAAGTAATAACTTAGGGTCGGCCATCTTCTTAACTACCTCGCAGGAGAGGTGTAAAAGGTGTTTCAAACAGGCACTTCTGTACAAAACAAACAGCTAGAATCACAACGTAATTATAAGCTACTTAAATGGAACAGGAGGGTGTCAGGTTAAGCGCGAAGCCCCCCGCCATGCCGCTGCTTAAGAGCCGAGCCAATACAGCTCAGAAGCAGCACCCATACGAACACAGTAAGCGCAGGCTACGGGAACGCAGCCGGTCTTTGGCGCAATGGCAGTAATAACCCATGCGCCAGTCCTCCTCACAAGGAAAACCACCAATGTCTGCCTTATCTAGGAGAGCTCAGTAGTGACTACGCCAATACCCAGAGCAAAAACACCGACTCTGTTCCCCTTCCTCTGGAGTCGTGGTTCTCAACCCTCCCGGCTCTTCTGAAACTCCTCCCCTTCACAAAAAGCTACTCTTCCAATAACTCACTTTTCTAAAGATTATATATGAAGACAGAGACAAAAATGAAAGTTGAGGTACCCAGGTTCAGTCAAAAAAATTAGGGTCTTTTTTTTTTTTTTTTTTTTACATATTCGTATTTCCCACGTATTGATTTGGCTCGGCTTGGTCCTGGGCTGTGGGTGGGGGTATGAAGTCCCCCTGAAGCCCTACAGTCTTTCACCTGCTGACCGCTGGACACAGACAAAACGGATAAATTCAATCTGGCAGAATCAAATGCAAAGAATTATCCCCAATCCAAGCACCCGAAGGACTGGCATGCCACTTCTTGTAGTTCCACTTTGTTCTGGCATTTTCAATCAGTCAACAGTAGCAATCCAAGCAAACCCAACAGCTCTTGGTCTGTTTTCTAGAAATATTTGCACAGCTGCAAATCTCTTGGCAACAAAAGCAGATTTCTGAGTATCAGCAGAGGGTGGCCCAGGTAA